AATCCAGCAACATCTATTAATATACCAAATTTTCGTACCTGTAAATTCATCCCATAATAAAAATCATGGGTCATATTAGACATAATAAATAAAACTAACCAGGACTTCTGTGTCACAGAGCTCCAAATTCAGTATTCTGGACTATTGGATGAGTTAAGTCTCATTGTAAAGTGTTCATTTCCCTAGATTTTGTCCTGAAACTGGACACTGTTTAGATGGGACATAATAGGGCCCACCCTGGTAGGTAGAAACGTGGAAACCCTACTGAAAAGATCAGGACAGATAGCAGCCCCCAGGTGGGACCTCTCAGAGCCTATATGGGGTAGGGTTAAACACGAAAGATGAGACAGCCCACCTGGGTTCTGCAGCTCACAACAAAAGCAACTCTGAGTAGATTCTTCATCTTCCCTGCACTCAATTCCCTATTTGTAAAATGGATATAATAATAGTTCTTACTCTGGAGCTGGCTGGTTAGCTCACTCAGTTATAGCACAGTGCTGATAACACCAAGGTCAAGGGTTTGGATCCCTGTATTGGCCAACCACACACACACACACACACACACACACACACACAAAAATTGGGCTGGCTGGTTAGTTCGGTTGGTTAGAGCACAGCTTTGTAACACCAAGGTCATGGGTTCGGATGCCCAACCAGCCAGCCACCCCAAAAAAAGAAGAAAAAAAGATTAACAGTTAATGCATGTTAAGTGCTTAGAAGAGTGCCTAGCAATCTTACTAGTGATCAGTAAAGGTTAGCTATTATTATTATAGTTGGGACAGTTCCTCCCTCACAGCCGTCCGCAGCGCAGTGGACTTCCCAGGCCTGGGAATAAAAACTGTAGTCCCTCCATGAACCCTCCCCTCTTCCTCTAAAACCTTCCTGGGCCAACTGCCAGGAACCACTCTCAACTTGTCTGAGCCAGTGAAATCAGCTCCCACTGACTCCTGATGGGAGCTGTTGGGAGCTGTCTCTCTGATCAGGGCCAGTTGCTGCCCAGATTCCATTCACTCCCACCTTTCACAGACCAGACCATACGTTGCTAAGCAGAATCCCCTGTCTCTGCTTTCTCACAGTAGCATGAAATCAGGGACTCAGTTGTCATTTCCTTGAAGGAGAGAGTAGAAAATGCATTCAGTCATCCATCTGACATTTAACAAACACCTATTGTGTGTTGCTGGCCTTTGTACTGAGAAGTCAGCCCAGTGTGGATATGGGTAGGGGTGAGTGCCGGCTTCCTGAAATCAGGGACTCAGTTGTCATTTCCTTGAAGGAGAGAGTAGAAAATGCATTCAGTCATCCATCTGACATTTAACAAACACCTATTGTGTGTCGCTGGCCTTTGTACTGAGAAGTCAGCCCAGTGTGGATATGGGTAGGGGTGAGTGCCGGCTTCTGTTTGATTTTTTGCTTTATTATTTCCGAATACTGTAAAGCTCCTTTGATCCTTAAGCTTTGCATCGAAGTCTTAGACATCCATTATCTCCCTGGGTGGAGGTGGGGTGGTGGAACATGGTCCAGAACCCAGTATAGTGCCTGGTTCAGGAATGCTGGTTGGGTGGAATCAAAGGTGATGCCTTGCTCTTATCAGTTTAGATTAGGTAGCTCAGACCTCATCACTAACAGGTAGGTGTTGGAGAGCGGGCCTGCAAGGGAGATGGCATGAACCCTGCTCCCAGGAGGTAGACAAGTCAAGAGAGAGACCATCTTGACACCTCTGCTCGCAGCTCTATGCTTAGGTGGCAGGTCTGCCTGTAACATTTGCAGAACTTGGGATGAATACAAATGAAGACCTGTTAACCATATAGCCACATTTTTATAAGGTATTATAAATCAAGCTAACTCTTAATGTTCTAGCCTCCTATCCTGGTAAGTATACCTTTATAATGACCTGGAAAGCCAGCTCTGAATTTAGACCTTTAGGACTCCTTGAAGTTCCATATTACAATGTGCCCCTGTCCTGGCGCCCAGCCTATAGACTGCCTTCTCTTCTCTCTTGCCATCTAATAATGCAGAGGGACCCGTGTACATGTGTAGACACTCCAGCCTGCATATCCAAGCTCTCTCACCCAACTCCCTGACAAACAGTTGCCCCTTGGCCACTGCTGGTCTGAAGGTTTGTGGCCCCCAAAATTCATGTTGAAACTTAATACTCAATGTGATAATATTAAGAGGTGGGGCTTCTGGGAGGTGATTAAGTCGAACGGGATTAGCACCCTAATAAAAGAGGCTTAAGAGAGTTTGTTTGCCCTTCTACCATGTGAGGTTACAGTGAAAAGACATCTGTCTTCAAGGGAGAGGGCCTTCACCAGACATGGAATCTGCCAGTGCCTTGATCTTGGACTTCCCAATCTCCATAACTGTAAGCAATAAATTTCTGTTGTTTATAAGCCAACCCAGTCTAAGGAATTTTGTTAAAGCAGCCATAGCAGACTAAGGCAGCCGCCTCTTGGACCCATAAGTGTGCACACCAACAGCATATCTGTCCTTGGGACCTAGAGAAAAGGGGTCTGGGAAGTGGGCTTGGCAGAGAATTCTGGGGTCCTGGGTACCAGGAGGCTGTTGTAGAAGGAGAAGAGGCACATCCCCTTGGCCCTGCACCCTATAGAGAGGGTTATGGCTGAAGGGCCCAAGCCAGGCCTTTCGAGGTGGGAATCCAGGGTCCTGACCCTTTCCCTCTTCAATGGGATTCTCCAGCCTGCAAGCTGACAGCAAAGGTACGGCTACTTCCCTGGCCACTGACCCTGATTCCCTTAGAGCTTCACCCTGAGAGGTGAACCAGAAACAAGCAGACCAATACAAAAGAAAAAATACTGTTTATTCCACACAACTAAATCAAGTGCTTCTCCCCCATTCTCCTTTCCCTTCTCTGCCCCTCCTTCTAGCCCTCAGTAAGACTTGTTCCATGTTCTAACTGGGGGATAGTTAGAACCTCAGTGTCAGCGCCTGCTTATGAGGCAGGAAGGAGATCTGGGCTTAGGAAGGTGACTGGATTTCCAAGAACACAAAAACATCAGGGTCTTACATTCCAAATTCAGGTGTGTTCCTCAGTCCATCTGGCCAAATTATTTCCCTGGACTCCACCTGGATAAAATGCCATGGTTAGTGCAGGATCAAAGGCCCTAGCCCATTCACCAGGCCAGAGAAAGTTTTGGTCTTTCTTTCATTTAAAATAAAACAAACAAAATCATACACAGTTAAGCCATTTCTGCCTATTCTCCTGTCTTTCCATGGCAAAGGAGACAATGAGCTCTGGCTTAAGTCCAGAAAGATGCTTTCAAAACAAAATTTATATCAACTCCCTTCAGAGCATGATGCTACCGAAAAACAGAAACCAAAAACAATCCACCTCACAGGTGAGTAGCCCAGGCCCCAGCTGCTTCCTGAGGGTCCTATGGTGGGGGAGCAAGGGAAGAAGTCATAGGCCAGCAAACTCTGCTCTGGGTATGCTTCAGGGATACACCCCTGCCTGGGGAATTCAGCCTGCAAACATTTTGCCTCTGTCATTGTTCCTCTGAAAGACTAACCCACCCTTCCAGCAGAGGAGAAAATGGTTTATTTCTAGCCCAGTCTTGGTTAACACAGATTTAGATGAGGGAGGGGCTGAAAAGCATGGCCAGGTCTAATTTAGACCAGTGGTTCTTGACTTTTTTCCTGCCATGACACAGGACAGTGTCCTCTTGCATATCCCACCATGGACACACCCTGGATTATATGCCACTCCCACGGCACCAGCTGTGATCCTCTTGTCCCTACCAAAAAAGAAAGCATACCTGAATGCAAATGTTTGAGCATGAAAACCTGCATTTCTCTTATTTATTTAAGTATAAGTCACTGAATCCTTTACAAACTCCAGTACTTTAACTATTCTTAATGAAAACCTGTTTACAACACCTCTCCCAAGTGAGTTTGTCATTTCATTGAAGCAGGCTGATAGAGTGGAGCTTGTGTGTGTGTGTGTGTGTGTGTGTGTGTGTGTGTTAACTGTTTAGGGTGGGAAATCCTTTAACAGTAATTGAAAGGTGGGGCCTTGAAGAAGTGATTAGACTGTGAGGACTGTGTCCTGGTAAGTGGATTAATCCATTCATTGTTTAATGGTAGTCATGGGCATGATTCTGTTGGCTTTTTTTTTTTTTTAAAGATGACCAGTAGGGGGATCTTAGCCCTTGACTTGGTGTTCTCAGCACCACATTCACCCAGTGAGCAAACCAGTCATGGGCATGATTCTGTTGGCTTTTTTTTTTTTTAAAGATGACCGGTAGGGGGATCTTAGCCCTTGACTTGGTGTTCTCAGCACCACATTCACCCAGTGAGCAAACCAGCCATCCCTATATGGGATCTGAACCTGCAGCCTTGGTGTTATCAGCATCACACTCTCTCGAGTGAGCCACAGGCCAGCCCTCTGTTGGCTTTAAAAGGATGCTCCCCCATCTGCCATGTGACACCAAGTCGCTGAATAGAGGCACCACCAAGAACAAAGCCCTCGCCAGATGTGTTCCTTGGACTTCCCAGCCTCTGAAACTGTAAGCAATAAATATTGTTTCTTTACAAAGTACCCAGTTCCAGGTATTTTGTCTCAGCAATAGAGACGGATTAATACAGATGGTGATGTGCCCTTGCCTGGCAGTCACTCCCTCAGCATGGATCACGTGAGGGGCAGTGGAGGGCAGCTGTGAGACCAGGCTCTGTATGGATAAAAGTAGTGAAGAGAAGGGGTGGTTGGCCCCTGTGACTTACGGCCCATTAGGGACGGTCTACACAGCTAGTCTCGGCTCATCTAAGCAAAACTATTCATTCTCTCATGATCTCCTAGAGCCATATACTGAACTGCAGGGGCTGTCCAGCCACAGTGAGGCTGGAGACTCGCTTAGCAGCTTGGATGAGATGCCAAACCCCTCTAGAAGCAAAACCCATCCTGATCTGGGGGTATTCTTGACTCAGATGAGCACTGGTGGTGGTTAGGGGTGGTGGTATTGATTACACACATACATGGTCTAAGACTCTGGACAAAATGAGATTTATCCTCTAGTATTCAAGTTACAAAGAAAATTAGAGTTAACTTCCACAAGAGACTTTCCTTGGCTGCCATGAACTCTTTTGGGATGTTGTCCTTTCCCCCAGGATCTTGCTATCTGGTTTATTGTTTAATTTGCTTCTTTTAAGAAGGCCTCAGTACTGGAGTAAGGGGCAGACGAGAGAGAAAAACAGCATTCCTTTCCTCCTCATTTTTGTCCAGAGTTGCCTGCTTGCTTGGGCAGTGGGATTTTCCAGGCTGCAAGTTCTCTCAATCCATACTTTTCATTGGGGACATTGCCATAGACAGAGATTAGTTTAAAATCTGGGATGGCCTTATTTACTAAATTCCCGGCCTGCTGCAGACCCTTGCTTGGGCAGTGGGATTTTCCAGGCTGCAAGTTCTCTCAATCCATACTTTTCGTTGGGGACATTGCCATATACAGAGATTAGTTTAAAATCTGGGATGGCCTTATTTACTAAATTCCCGGCCTGCTGCAGACCCAGCACAACTTCAGGACAGGGAGAGTTCACTGTTTCTTCCTTCCGACATGAATTGCAAAATAAAAGGTTCTGCTTTAGTGCAATTTTTCCCCCAAAGGAGCCAGGGAGAGATGGGAGAGGAGATCACATGTGCTCGCCCCAGGCCTAGGGGAACCTTCTGATCTTGAGATCAGAGCAGACATAGAGTGTGACCTTCTGAGCAGCACATCATACTTTTCTGAACTTTATCTCCTGGGTCCTTTCAGAGGGACAATGTGCCTGCAGGCAAAGTGTGGGGGCGGGATGGGGGGGTGGGGGCAGTGTGAAGCTGTGGTTCCACTGGATGAGTTGTCCTACTTGCCACACTAACACAAAGGAGGAAAGGAGAAGAGAGAAGGGAAAGAGAACGCCATAGAAAACAAGAGCTAAGGGCCAATGGGCCTTAGGAGCTGCCCCAAAGACGGGGAGTTTCTGGTTCCCAGCCAGAATTCACCCTTCAGAAACCATGTTAGCAAAGTGCTTCTCTAAGTGACACCACAAATCTCCTCCTTTGGCATGACCAGCCCGGAGCCTGACACTCTCACGTGGCCCCTCGGGCTCCACGTGGTGTGAGATACGTGGGGGAGAGGAGGGAGGCATTGACGCACATGCACACAGTGGAGTCTCATGACCTAGGGCAAGCACAGCTACATGTGGCCATATGACAGGAGGTGCTGTCATGGCAGTGGCTGCAACTGGGCACCCAGAGAAAAGTACAAAGTGCTGGAACACAAGGCTGGGGGCCAAGTCTTAAGGGATCTGAAAGACGTTCAGCTTGCTGGTGTTCTTGAGCGTCTGGCGCCGATTGCAGAACCAGACCCGCACGACCTCACGATCATAGTTGAGCTCCTTAGCAATCTCGGTGATCTCCTGGCCTGTGGGCAGCGGGTTCTTCTCAAAGTAGGTGTTGAGAGCCTCTATGGCCTGGGGGGTGAAGGAGGTGCGGCGTTTGCGTTTCTTGGAGGGCTCACCTCCCACGAACTCCATCAGGTTCTGTTGGCCTTCCTGGTTCCGGAGTTCAGCCTCATTCAGCCACTTCTCCAGCACTGGTTTCAGCTTCTGGGCACTCTTGGGTGTGATGTCCAGCTTCTCAAACCTGCAGGCAATCCATATCCAGGAAGGGACTGTGAGAGTGACTCAGTCTCTCCAGCACCCCCCACACCTGGATATAAGCACCATCTTCAAGGGGCTGCCCCTCTCAGGGCTCCTGAGATTGTACCCAGTGTTCCCCTCTCCGCCTCCTCCAAGACCCCACTAGCTCAGGCAAATCCAGGCTCCTCAGATTCTCCAGTACCCCAGCTCCTAAAGGGGACCATTCCCATGGCTTCAGCTCAGACAGTAGTGCGATGAGAGCAGTGCAACTGCTCTGTGAGCAACCTTTCAAGAAATGTTACCGAAATGAGTGAAGTCCTTTGAGGAGTCTTCTTGAGAGGCCTCCAGATACCATGGTTCACGAATGCCACTCTCCTCCAGTTGCGCTCTCATAACTGACAGCATCACTAATGAGCCAGGCTACTTTACCTGGCCAAGGCTGGATGTGACAACAGAATTCCCAACCTGGCATTGCCCGCACTCTAATAGTCACACTAGTCTAACCTATGGAGCTGGCAGGCAGGTGAAAGCTTTCAGCCACTGCTGAGCTATGCACTTCTTGTTTGAAACCCTCTGCTACCCCTCCTTTAGTACTGGCACCAAAACCAGTTTGTAAGCTGCACAAATAAAAGTCAGCTATATCACTTTACAGTCATGTATTACAAGAGGGGGAGATGGGAGTAGGATGGGGTATGGTGGGTTATAGTTGGGCCAAGACAGAAATGAAGTTTCCGGGGCCGGCCCGTGGCTCACTCGGGAGAGTGCAGTGCTGATAACACCAAGGCCATGGGTTCGGATCCCATATAGGGATGGCCAGTTCACTCACTGGCTGAGCGTGGTGCTGACAACACCAAGCCAAGGGTTAAGATCCCCTTACCAGTCATCTTTTAGGAAAAAAAAAAAAAAGAAAGAAATGAAGTTTCCATTTTGGTGACTAAGTTACAAGGCTTATTCCTGTTCTGCTAATATTCCTGAATGGATTGGGGTCTTAGGTTCCCCAAAGAAGACTACGTAAATGTTCAGGATTAGAAGATAAACTTCAGAGGCCCCACAAGGACTGACTGGGTCAGTCTTTGGTTACTCTAGGTGTTCATGTCTACCCTTAGGATAATCTTCCCTATCTGGAAGAAGGCAGGAGTAAGGGAGAACTTGGAAAGGGGCTGGATGTCCGGGTTCCCACAAATGCCCAGTGTCACCATGCACCCAAGAAAGTTCTAAGTTTGTCCAGGGCAGCCTTACTCACCGGCAAATGGCTGACTGGCTGTAGGCTGGACCTTCCGTAGCAGTCAGAGCCTGACCCACCTGGGTCTGTGTGAGGCCCAGTGAGAGCCGCCGAATCTTAAAGTTCTTGGCAAACTCCCGGATCTCTTCTAAATTGATACCATCCTCATCCAGACTTGGAGTATGCGGCTCTGGGCCAGAGGGAGAGAGCAGGGATGAGTGTGTAAGATGAGAATCATCACTGCTTATCTGGCCCATTGGTCTGGACTGGCACAGAAGTGAGGGATGAGCACATCTAGCAAAAAGCTCTTGTACCTTTAAGACCCTCATCACCCCTGCCCCCAAGACAAGCAAGACTTGGGGGAAGAGGGCCTGGATCAATCTATCAGAGGTTAAGGGTCTATTTTCAAGTTCTTCCAGCTCTAACTGCTGACCCTTCCCCATTCTCCCTACTCCTGGCCCCAAGTACATCTGTTGGCCATCCACATTCCTTAAATACTGGGCTAGGGACCACAGCAGAGATGGCCAATGGCTTGTGCTCTCAGAGAACAGCCAGCTAAGCAGCCTCCACTATCATCATGCCCAGAATCCAGCTCAACAGGAGTGGGAATAAGAAAGCCATCCCCTCGCGTTGGGCCTCTGCCCTTCCCCTTTGGACTCCAGGAAGTTTATTAAGGAAAGCAGCATCTGAAAATGTTGGGTTGCCCAAATACATGCCTCCTTCCCTTCTCTGCACTTCTCCTCCAGGAGCCACTTACTGGACACCAACTGGCTGACAGTAGGGGTCTCTGAGCAGGTAATTGGGATGGGAGCAGAGGCAGATGGCTTGGCCACTGGAGCTGGGCTGGCGATGACCACAGCAGGCTGGGGCACAGCTGGTGTGGGCTGGATGGGCTGCACCTGTGAGAAGAGAGATAACAGACTCTGCTGCCCCTGCCTGGCTCAGGGAGTTGGAATCCCTGGGTGGACCAGAGGCAGGGCAAAAATGGGCATGAATCCTTACTCACCCAGGACACTTCCCACTGTGCCCTATCAAAAGCCAAGACTAGAATAAAAGCTACTTAACACCCACCCAACCATAATGACCTCCTTAAATAAACAGCAACAAGCCCCACCAAGCTGGAGCCTCACAGCCACCTGTGATACCGGCAGGTGAGAGGCTCAGAAAGGTTCAGTACACTTAGTCAAAACCCCAACAAGTGCCTAGCCTTGGGATAACTGCTCTTAAAACTCTGCCCTCAAAGGAGAAACCTAAACCTGATTCTAGAGCCTCCCCAAATGTCCATGAATTGTTAGATGACTCTCAAACCTCCCTACGATGAAATCCTGTGCAGCCATTAAAAATAATAAGGTAATGGGCCGGCCCAGTGGCACACTGGAGAGTGCGCCGCTTGGGAGTGCGGCAGCTGCTCCCGCCGAGGGTTCGGATCCCATGTGGAGACCGGTTCCCACTCACTGGCTGAGCGCGGTGCGGGCACAACACCCAGGGTTGCAATCCCGTTGCCGGTCAGTAAAAAAGACACAAAAAAAGGAAAAAAATAAAAAAATAATAAGGTAAAAAGGTTAAAAAAGAAAAGATAAGAAAATAATAAGGTGTATCTCTTAACTACTCTGAGCTCTGAGTCATAGCACTAAGTGAAAAAAGTTAGGTGAAAAACAGTTTTTATCGAATAATGCCTTTAAAAAATAAATATGAATTTCTAGGGAAAAAATCATGAAGTACATAAAGCAAATTGTCAACAGAAGTCACCTTGGGAGCTGGCTGGTTGGCTCAAATGGTTAGAGCATGGTATTATAACACCAATGTCAAGGGTTCGGATATGGATCCCTGAACTGGCCAGCCACCAAAAAGAAATAAAATAAATAAAATTTAAAAAAAATAAATAAATAAAAATAAAAAATAAATAGGGCCGGCCCGGTGGCGCACTGCTGTAGTAAAAAATAAATAAAAATAAATAAATAAATAAATAAATCCAAACCCTTGAACTTGGTGTTATAACACTATGCTCTAACCAACTGAGCTAACTGGCCAGCCTGTTGGAATTTTTATAAAAATCTTATATCATATTTGTAATCAGGAGAAACTATAAATATATGAAATTAGTATTTTTTAGTATGATTTTTTAAAAAACGCTTTCTAGGAAATGGAGGTTTCTCCAGGATGGTCCTGATCTTTGGAGTCTACATCCTGGTAGCTCTCAAGTCTATTCCTTTTTTATCCCAAGGAACTTTGCCTTAATTCTGAGCTCCTTATCTCTTGCTAGAGCTGTTTAAACTGCCTCCTAACTGGTGACAAGATTCAAGTCTCACCACAGCCCGGTTCTTGGTTCCACCTGGATAACTGAGGGATTTTTAATGCACAACTGGTCAGCCATTTTCTTGCTAAAACCCTTCCACAGTTCCCCACTACCAAATAACAATAGTAACAATAACTACTGTTTTTCAAGTGCTTTCTGTGTATCACAGTGTTAATTGCCCAGGTGTGATACATCTTTCAGCAGTCATAAGCCTCTGAAGTTGGTTCTCTTATAGTCCTTATTTTACAGATAGGGCTAAGAGGCCATTTACAAAGCTTGGAAGCAGAGAACATTTGAGAACCACTGGCCTCAATATCATCTGGGAACTTAGAAATGTAAATTCTTGGGCCTCACTCCAGACCTACCGAATAAGAAACTCTGAGGTGGGGCCCAGAATATTCTGTCCACCAAGCCTCTAGGCAATTCTCATGCACCAGTTTGAGAACTACTGCTCTATCACACAACTCTTGTTGCAGTCCCCTAAAGGTGGAACACTCTCACTTCCAACTTATCCCTTTAGATTAGTTCGCTGTCCCTTCTCTACGAAGCCCTGCCTATGCCCCATGTCTGTAGAGAGCTCCCAAAGCACCTTATTCCTGCTCCTATCATAGTTTTATCATCACACTGACTCGTAATTGTCTCTAATACTGAGCTACTTAAGGCTAGAAGGACACCTTATTCATCTTTGTGTCTTCAGCAGTCAGACTATAGTAGGCACTCAAAAAATACTCCTCGAATGAACAAATAAATGAATAATGAAAGCCACAGTGCAAGGTGGAGGGGTGGAGGGGTGGACAGGGAGGGGTGCGGAATTAACCTCCCAGGGCTTTTCCGGAAGTTTGTTCACTCTTGAGCTGACCCAAGCCCAGTCTACTTTGGCCACCACCTTCCTGACCTTCTTAGAATGGCACTGGCCTCTGAGGACACATACAGTTGTTTCTGGCATGTGCAGGTAAGGGGCCGAGAGTGCTATTCCCTGGGCAGCATGTGTGTGGACTCACGTGGGCCCTGTACTCTGGGACCTCCCCTCCCTTTGGGGAGGTGCCCTGCTCTCCCAGGAGTTCCAGA